TTTGGCCTTCTGTTGAACACTGACTGAATTGTGCTCTGAACTGAGTGAGTGGATATCTGGTCTCCCCCTGACTGTAGCCATAGTTGGGTCATCGGTCCCTGCAGCACCTAGCACATAGGGGGTGCTCTAGGAATGTTTGTTGGCTAAACTCACGGTGCTTTTATGACTTAGCTAATAATGGATTTCTCAGAGGCTAGATTACTCAAGCGTTTGTATATTCAGATCTCTCGGAATTTTATTCCCAATTTGTAACTCTGGCAAGGTTCACCTTCCAATCTGCCAAAGATGACCAGCAGAGAGCAAAAGGGAAGCTCTCTCAGACCATTAGGCTCCTCTTGGGAAGCTCTGCAGAGAGCTGAGGATGAAGAGTGAAGGGCAGGCCGTTTCTCCCCCCACCCAGAGAGGTGTGGTTCCCCCACCTTTTCAGTGTTTAGACGGCCAGAACTTCCATCAGGACAGGGGAACTGGGTAGGTGTATCATTCCCCAGGCCCAGGTCCTCTTTGACCCGCGCGGTCAAGTCCTTCTGTCGGCTCCTGCCTCGGTCGCCGTGCAGGAGCACCTGGTCATTCTCCGCTCCCTCTCCCATCCCCCTCTCGAGGAGGCTCCACTTTGCTCTGGGGCCCGTCCTTCCCGACCACACCTTGCTAGGGAGGGGAGGCAGTCTGGTGCTGACCGAAGATCTTTCGGTTGCAAATTAGGAGACCTGTATGACCCGGGCAAAGTTGATTCAGCTCTTGGAGCCTCAGTTTCTGCATCTATGAACTGGGAATAATCACAAGGGGCCCGTCCCCGGTCACATCCCAGGGTTACTGAGGGGACTCAACTGAGATTTTTACAAAGAGCTCACCATAAACGCCAAGCGTTCCTAGTGCTGTCTGTGGGGCTCCCTCTAGGTAACTCCCCACCTAAGCCGTCCAGTCCGCCCCGCCCCGGCTGCATCGGCCTCACCCGCCGCATCTCCATCTTTTCCGTCATTGTCTTTCCGCGCCTCAGAGATCCTGGGTCTCTCCATCGCCCCTGTCCGTTTCCGGGTCTGCTTCTTGGGCCCCTCTACCCCTCGGGGGGCTGTGGTCTCCGGCTCCCTGCCGCAGTCGCTGCCCGGGCGCCCCCCGCCCTGTCCACCCCCTTTCGGCACGGCCACCAGGCCGGAGAATCGCCCAATAAGAGCGCCGGGCTCAAGTCTGACAGCTCAGGAAGCGGCCAATCGAGCCGGGCCAAGGAAGGGGGGCGCAGTGCTGGGGCTGAAGTTGGGTTGAATGGGGGAGGGGGATTAAAGGGGGATACAAAAGAGGGGAGACAGGGCTAGGGGCACAAAAACCCAAACAGGGGGTGGGGAGGGCCGCGCTCCGCCCGGGTCTGGCCAAGGGACCGCGGGCTGGACGCAGCTCCAGGAACCAGAGGGAGGGGGCGCGACGCAAATGTAGGTGAGGAAGAGGAACTGGGTCTCCCG